ACTAACTTGCTTAGCTCTTGGTCTTCAACTATTGTAAGTTGACTTTTCTTAGAAGACAGCTCAATATTATAGAGTCTCATAGAAAATCTTCATACGTTTCTTATAAACTAAAATTACCCTCGACAAAATCATAACAAAACGCAACTTTGGTAATTTAACAAAAGTTAGTCTTCACTAACTGATATTAAATTTGATAATCGGAGGTCAACATCGTGCGTTATCTTATTGGATTCGAAGATAAATTCTAATAAGTTGGGCGTAGTTTTTGTACGTGTGCCGTAGGGCAGGGCGGAGGGCGTCTGGAGGTCTCGCCGGTTGATGTACACAGCGTCACTGGCAGTAATTTAACTTAGAAATAGTTAAACTAAAACTAGTGAATAAGTTTCTTGCGCTGCTTCGTCTCAGCACTACCGCTGATTTGGGACAATAAATTAACCCTACTTAATACTGGGGCACAAATGGGGCGTGAAAAAGTGCTTTTTATTAAAAAGTTTCTATTAAGATCCAATGCTTTCCCAAAGAATATTCTCAGAGATGCCCAACAATGATTCGTATTTGTACATTTAATAGAATAGAATAGAATAATTGTTTATTTGCATAAAACATGGTATACAGTTAACACAAAATATGGTATAAAGTTAAGTTAACGAAAAAATAACTGAATTATGTGTAGACTTTTTATTTACAGCTAGTAACAGTACAGATAGATTTCATGTTAACTTTCCCTAATTTCAGATTAGGTTACAATAACAAGGTTTTAAATAGTCAACCAAAGTCGAACCATCGAAGTCATTCGTGCCACTTTCAAAACATCGTCAGCAACAAACCCATCAAGAACTACTTACCTCGTGCACCCCTACACTGTGGCTTTCTGAAAGACGAATGACACTTATTATTTATTGAGCCACAGCCGCGCGTGTCGCAGGAACACTGAATACAGGGATTTGCCCTGAAATATGGCGGCTCCATCAATTCTTGCTATTAGATGCGGCGCGGAAATTGAAACTCCGCGCGAAATTGGTTTAGCTGGATACAACGAGCGTTACTGTTTATTTCTTGCTCGTTTTTCGGTAATGTTGTCAAAATGTTTAGGTTAAATAGCCATTTAAAGGATAATACAGTCTAGGTTTAAGAACTTTTGGCAGATGATTATTGTCTTGAAAACATTGTATTGTCTCAAGGATTCAAGTGGTGCTCTTATTCTAAGTGGAATGTCATGTCAAAATACAATTTCCAGCAGAATGGAAGGCTTACCTCTTTAATATAAACCGTACTTACCTACTTACTTAGGTTCAGTTGCTATGTATAACAATAACCAGTGTTTTTTGTATGATTTTTGAAGTGTGGTAAAGTTAAAGTAAGAGGGTGCAACTCAGCCTTACTTTAACCAGTGGTTTAACTCAATCAAACCACCAGCCGTTAAAACGCTATTGAAACATGTACAATTGTACATATTACATATATCAATATTTGAATTCAATCGGAAGTGTTTCGGCAACATGGAACATAAAAATAAAAAACAATCATCCAAAAAAGTCGCACGATTCGCAAACATTCGACAGTTCATATTGATTCGTTCCGGGCTAAAGCGCCTCGGAAACGATGCAATATATCACGTGACAGTAAACAAAACAACATCTACAATGTATCCGTATACTATTTGTGTAAGTAATATTGTATTACACTGTCGGCATTACAGTTTACAGCATTTGTGATTATTACCCCGGACCCCAGCTATCAGCAGATTGCCTGCAGACATTGCAGACTTTTTTTGTCATGCTGTAGTTGACGATATTTCAGTCTATAAAGTACCTACCTACTTGAAATTTTATTCAAAACTCCTTTGTCTGAGTTATTTAGAAATTGGAAAGCGTACCTACCTATGTAGGTCCAGTTTTTTTATACAATAAAAAATTGATCTCCTTATAATCAGTTAATTACGTTGGTATTCTTCAACATAATTACCTATTACTTAGAAGAAATATCTTGAATCAAGTATGTGATTTGGCTTTCATATCTTCCTTTACAAATATTTACAAATATATAGGAAAAGATAACCGAAAACCAAATATCCACTCTCTTTGTACACAAATAATATCTATGTATGTAGTCGTAATAACAAAGATTTGTTTCATAACAATGTTCGTAATATTATATTTGCTTCATATGAGTTCTTTCAGCTGTAGGTAGGTACATTTCTTAATCTTGTTTCATGTCATATCTCGACGGTACGCTAAACCACTAGTATTTAAAAGCAGAAAACCGACTAAGACAAATTCTTTTTAAGCCCCCACCCACTCTAAACACTTGTGACATGAAAGCAAGCAACGCACCGCGCCTCTCTGAGGCGTTAAGCACCCATACCCCACCATTCACTCTACCTCTCACACTCCGTAAATAAAACGACTCCGTTTTAACAGAACCATTTACATAGCATTACGTGAAAAGATAATAACCCGATAAAATATTTAATTAAAGCCCTCCATGACGGTTTCTATCTCAGACAAGACAATTTATAAGCATCGCAGAGGAATGTNCATCTTCTATAAAGTCATTTTCCATCATTTTCCATCTTTACTTACGTAACTTACATAAACGGTTATTTTTTCCATAAATAATATATCAAGCTATTTAATATTATTACAGAGACCATCAAATACATGTTAAAACCTTAAATATTCAATAATTAACATATAAAACATTCACATTTACAGTTTACGCGCAACGGTGTACGCATTCGTTCGCGCCACTATTTCGCCGATTTCCTCCTTCTCGGCGAGTCGTCCCCAACAATATTACATGATCAATATTTGAATTCAATCGGAAGTGTTTCGGCAAAATGGAACATATAAAAATAAAAAACAATCATCCAAAAAAGTCGCACGATTCGCAAACATTCGACAGTTCATATTGATTCATTCCGTACTGAGGCGCCTCGGAGCGATGCAATATATCACGTGACAGTAAACAAAAGGGCATCTACAATGTATCCGTATATGATTTTTATAAATAATATTGTATTACAGCTTTGTCATTATTACCCCTGACCCCAGGCATTGCAATGGCTTTTTTTCTTTATCACGCTGTAGTTAACGATATTTCATTCTCTATAAAGTACCTACTTGCAGTTTTATACAAAACTTCTTTGTCTGGCATATTTAGAATACAGAAAGAATATGATATAGTTCATAAAAATGAGTAGCTATAAAGATTATTGGATATTCATATACATTTCAATTATACAGTCGAGAATTGATCTCCTTATAATCAGTTAATTACGTTGGTATTCTTCAACATAATTACCTATTACTTAGAAGAAATATCTTGGTATCTGATTTGACTTCCGTATCTTCCTTTACAAATATATGTATAGGAAAAAGAATATCGAAAACCTAATATCCACTCTCTTTGTAAACAAATAATACCTATGTAGTCGTAATAACAAAGATTTATTTCATAACAATGTTCGTAATTTGCTTCATATGAGTTCTTTCAGCTACAGAGTAGGTACATTTCTTAATCTTGTTTCATGTCATATCTTGACGGTATGACTAAACCACTAGTATTTAAAAGCAGAAAACCGACTAAGACAAATTCTTTTTAAGCCCCCACCCACTCTAAACACTTGTGACATGAAAGCAAGCAACGCACCGCGCCTCTCTGAGGCGTTAAGCACCCATACCCCGCCATTCACTCTACCTCTCACACTCCGTAAATAAAACGACTCCGTTTAAACAGAACCATTTACATAGCATTACGTGAAAAGATAATAACCCGATAAAATATTTAATTAAAGCCCTCCATGACGGTTTCTATCTCAGACAAGACAATTTATAAGCATCGCAGAGGAATTTCGTGAGTGATCCCTCTCACCGCGCATCCAGAGATAACACTACTTAATACAGATGAGCACATTAGACTTAACATTTCAGTTGCAAAATAGCACTTATTACAAGGATTTAAGATGTCAAGTGTTAGGCTTGATGTGCCGTCTGTACCGTAGGACAAGAACAGGTGCCGCAAACTATGAAATCAAATAATGGCCTGTTTGCTCCCTAACTAACGTATTTACATAGGCTCTGTTAATGTTGGAGCTTATGCTATACTTATACATTATACAATCGTTGTCTGATCTATCAACCCCTGGGACAAACTTGACCTTCATTGGTTAGGTTTTTGTGGTGGTCAAGCTGTAGATCCTGGCTACACAGGAGTTGCAGTGGTGGGAAACGAGAGGTGGGAATAGTCCCGTTTGATCTATCAACTCACAGCAAATGTACTGAATCTAGAAAAGTTTATTCTAATGGGTCCACTGAAAGAGTATTTTTGAATATACGAAAAAGTTGGTTTAAATAAGTATTATTCGTTTCTATTGATCATTATGGATTAGTAGATTTTCAAATAAAAATGTTGCTCCTTCATAAGTTGAATTGTTGTTGAATAAAGTTTATATGAAGAGTAAGTAGGTGGCAATGGCTACTAACTGTATGTTACGTTACTTACGCTTAAGTGCGCGAGAATTATCGAACCGGCCGAGCTCTAGCGGCGCGTGTTGAGCAAAATGTAATTTTAATTTAAATTTCGGCTCTTTCTGTACCGTGGGTAGGTTGGGAAAACATTAATTATATTTTCGTATTTCAGTTCAATGGATACCATTATCGGAACCCGTATTTGTAACATGATATACAAATCAAATATATTAACGGTAAACTTTAAAGAAAATTACTGGTAGAAGGTAAAATAAGTAATTTGCATAGATTAGGTTACTTTGTTATGTCGGCTGTCTTAAGAATCTATTGGATAGAGTTCCAGACCACAAAAGTATTAATTGTAGATTCTATTCGTAGAACTTATTCTTCAAGCGAACGACGTTGTGGTTGTCGTTCTTTTCGACAATGTTGTATTGTATTGTACTTAGATTATGTCCGTAGCCAGCCACATAGATAAACGCGCTACATTAACTATTCAGCTGGTTAAGAAACATGTGTTTTTGTCCACAGAACACCTCATAGAGTTGTCCCGGCAGTCGCAGAACAAGACAGCTGGCTTCTTTCAGCAGCTGTACAGGCGGCACGCGACGCGTGCGCATACGCCGCTCGGCGTCCTCTACGATGACATCCGAGCGCTGCTCGCTTCGGGTCCCGAGCGCGACTCGGAAAATCTCGGCTCTCGGCCCCCGAAGGACCTAGCCGAGAGCTCCAGAAAGTTCTTTCGGGAGGTCTTCCCAGTGGCCTACCAGAGCGTACTAAAGCTAGAATCGAAGAGGTTCACGCCTGAGTACGACGAGTGCTTGAAGGCGGCGTATGACGCTGTCCTGCCTTTTGGGGATATTCCGGAGCAGGTACTTTTATTTCATAAACTTCCTTTTAATGTTTGGGAATATTAATTAAATATTAACACATTAAACGCCCTGACATCCACATACCATATAGTTATGTCTGCCAGTATGTATTTTCACTTGGTTCCATGAAAAATGGAACAGTTTAAAAGAAATACAATGTAGAGCATAATGCCTCTCCAGCGTACCTAATTATGAATAAAACAAATTTATTGCTTGGCGTTTAATGTATTAATTTGTAGATTGATAACTGTGTAACAATATGTACCTACTAAAATTAGGAACTATTTTACAAAGATGGTTTATTTTAGTTTGGAGAAAAACGAGACCTCTACAGTTTCATAAAGAATGTGTTCTTCTGTCCAGATGGGCTCCTCACTCTCCAGGTCGCTAGAAGCAGCCAGAGTGTTACTACAAGTGTTAGCAGCGGGCGCTGGAGCGCTGGAGTCCAGCGAGCTCGTCTTGTCGCAGACGAACGACGAGTGCTTTAACAAGCTGCTGCGGGTCGCTGGATGTGCGCGCTGCAAGGGCCACTATGCGCGGCCGTGCAAGAACTTCTGCCTCAATGTTGCTAGAGGGTAAGAAAAGTTGTAATATCTCACTTTCAATCCTGACATATTCTGCAATACTAGTACCTAGAGCCAACACACGTTTTAGAGCTTTTATCCAGGACGATCCAGTTTTGCAGAATCTGCAAAACAGGACTTTCGTGTGAATACACAAGTGTGTGCTTGAAAATTTAATTCCAAATCCATACGAATTGGTTTTTTGCGGGACACTGTAAACGAGATGTTCATGTGAATGTTAATATTTAAACACGTATACTACGAAACGGGATCCTGCAAAAAACAGTTCCTCCAAAAAAATTGTTCCTGCAAGAAATGGGATGTCTCTGTGAGAAAGCACCCTTAAGGTTCGAAGCTAGTCCCTAGATACATTTTCACTCACTCTAGGCTTTCTATAAGTTTTGGCGTTACAGAATCTTACGAAGTCGAAGCTCTCTAGTATTTTACATACCAAACCTGTTACCCTAAACTGTCTCGTTACCAAATAATATAATTATTACCCAGTGTTCGATAACAGAAGTCAGTCCTCTAGTTGCAAACTGCACATTTTATAAGCGCCGCAAACTCTGTCGCTAATTAGCTCCGTGTTGGAGTCAAACTTGGTCAGAGTTCTTACAGCCGCGATACGGCTCATAACTTTAATAAACTATAATTGTTTAAAGTTCTACGGCAATGTTTAGTGAGGGTACGGTGCTTGGGTGCCTACTTTTTAATTACGAAACAGTAACCACGAAATTGGACTTACTAGACAATTTTAGAATAAATACAGAGATGGGACTCTGGGAGTTGCTAATCGATTTTGTAACTGCTCTTTAAGAAGCAGAGATGCTTCCATGATAAAAGATTTTTCCCAAAAGTTACTTAACGTTAGCTTTCTAGTAACATATTCCACCATTCGTAGACGAGCATTATTTCCCTTTTAATTAACCTACTCTCTGATGGATTCATTTCCACGATTATTTTTCGTCAATCACGCTAAACACTGTACATCTTACGTAGTTCTATTAAATGCTATTTTACAACAAAAATGTAGTCCTATGCTGGAGATGGTACAAGGAATATCCTAATAATTTAATCACGCCCTTATACCAGGTGCATAGAGTCGCCAGTGTCAAAGCGGTCTTACCTATGTGCTGGTATCGGTACATGGTATATCCTAATCCAATCACGCCCTTATCCCAGGTGCATAGGGTCGCACGTGTCAGAGCTGTCCTACCTTTAAGCTGCAGTTAGTTCATGGAAAACCGTAGTAATCCAATCACGCCCTTATCCCAGGTGCATAGGGTCGCCAGTGGCGGAGCTGTCCTACCTTTAAGCTGCAGTCGGTTAATGGAAAACCGTAGTAATCCAATCACGCCCTTATCCCAGGTGCATAGGGTCGCCAGTGGCAGAGCTGGACGCGCCGTGGGCGGGCTACGTGGAGGGCCTGGAGCGACTGTCGCGGCCCGACGCCGACGTCGCGCTGCGTGAAATGGAGACCCAGCTGTCTAAAGCCATCATGTACGCGCTGGAGAACCAGAGCATACTGGAGAGCAAGGTCAGTTCTTTATGTAGTGTGGACTTAGACTCCTCGCAGACTGCAGACTTAGTCGGCCGATGGTTTGGCCCGTATATTACTCTAGACTAGAAGTATAATTAGTCCCACATCAAAATTACCTAAATACCGACACGTCTTTTGATTTTCTTTTCTAGAGTTGTCTAGCGCATAATAACTGAGTCAGTACCTGAAGTATTGGAAGCGGCATGGGAGGAGAGACATATGATGTGATGTGACAGAGCATACAAGTCTGAAAAGCACCTCTGAAATCTCGCTGAAATTTGACGTCACAAAAAACCCCTCCCGTGCTGCTTCCTTATCTCAGGCACTAGTTATTCTTGTGACATCGATTACACGTAAACACATGACAGGTGCAGGTCAATAAAAGCTTTTTTTTACAGGCTGAAGTGCGAGTCTCGTACTCTGCCTCATGCATGTATGCATATCAGTTGCCGTGTAGAGCATAGTCTGGATGCGTAATTAATTCGTTTACACAATCGATGCACAGCTGGTAAAACTACTTTTAACGTGGGACCCTGATACACGAAATAAAACACTGCATATAGTGGCGAGTAACTGGAACTCGCAAACAGCGATGCAAGTTTAATTTATAAAAATGCGATATACCGAGCATGAGTGTCGGCGCGCTAATTAAGAGCGCCGGCCCGACGGCACCAGCAATTTGTGCACCGTCTCCGTTGCACCTTCAATTTGTTCCCTCACAACGAGATAATTTTCTGCACGATAAAATATGACTTGAAATTTACAACGTCGCTATAATTTCACACGATATACCGCTGCGCCAACTAACAGAAGTTCTACATTTCGCACGCCATTTTACCATGAAATTGCTATCACAATCGGCCGGCTATGAAATGTGGCGCCGCTAGTTTCACCCGCTCATGCGGCAATTCAAAAATATTGCTGTTAAACACTCCAATGTACGAAATGAAGTTGTCGGGTGTCGTTTGGCAGAGAGCCACACGTGGTCCGCACGCCCACTAGACATTTCAATTATTTCTCCGCTAGCGGACGCTGGCTGTTTTGCATGTGGCCATTTCTCCGCAGTAAAACGGCCGAGAATTCAATCACTATTACAAAGGCGATGGTCTGTCCAATAATCGTAAAACTTGGAATCTCTTCCTAGGTTGCGTTTACGTTTATTATGAGCGAGGCGTAGGCTAAGCCGCGGGCGACGTGGGCGCAGGTCGCGCACCCACGTGCTGCGAAACAAAAACGCACCGAAATGACCAACCTTTATCATCTTTATCATCGAGGTTGACATTCTGGCCGGCATTAACATGATTTAGCATAACAAAAAAGAAAAAGCAAACATAACTCTGAAATATTTTCGAAGTTATTATAACCATATGGCCACTATTGTGGCGATTATAGGAGTAGACCGTATAAGGCGCGTCCTTTGCCGGAGCCGAGCTGACTGCAGAGCACTTTATCTAATGGTTCGAGTTAATTCTGTAATCGAGTCTTTATTAACGGCTTAAATGCAAAGGCACGGCAAAAATCGAGAGCAATAAATTCTACTCAGAACGAAGCCAGCCTTTATCTGGCGTGGTAATTCAATCGCGGTAATTTAGGAGCTTTTTAGCATTTGCTGAAAAACAGTCTGGTTTTCTTTCTTACCTACTTTTATTGTGGTAAACCCACTCTTATTACAAGCATATAACATATTCCTTACTTACAAGGGTTAACAGGGATATTAGTAATTGTGACAAATGAGTACCTAACATTAAAAAAATACATTATCCTTTAATAGTGAAAGAAAGGAAAATTAATAAGTAAAGAATAGCATGCAAAAAGTTAACCCGTGGTTCACACTTATTTACCTCCAAATCGACGGCCGATAACACTAACTAGTAACTACTATCCGAATGACTATAATATGTATGGAGACTGTCTTTACTAGCGTTACGCTTGACGTTCTCAGCGATCGGGTTTGTGAGGTGGATGCACGTGGACTTAGAAAAGTCCAGAAGCTACACGCTCAGTGCAGTAAACTGAGGTAACCACATGATATAAGAATTTATTTAGTTTTATGTCACACATTGGCGTCAAGACCGTCAATCTTGGTAACCAGCTCAGTCTTCCCAACGGAAAAGCGCAAAATCTTCCAACCAGTTTTACTGCCCCCGTAATAAGAGCCATAAAAGATGAGTGCGTTGCTAGTTTCTTTATGAATATTGAAGATAATTCTGAATAGAGTTTCCGTTATGAAACACATTTCTGTTTTACGGCCTTTCTAATAAGTACACCTTAGTTTTACGTTTCTTGGCTTTTAAATAAAGATAAAGCTCGCGAAGATATTGAACGCACACGAAGTATAGAATATTGAGTGGTGAGGAACAAAATTTGCAATTTTTATGACTGCCAACCCACAATGACTTCGTAAGATATGTTTATGTTGTTTATTATTAACACAAAACAGTTATTTTAAACGGTAACCTCTGGAAGTTACTGCATAAATATGATTCATTTCAAATAAGCAACGTACTTAGTTTAAATGTTTTATTCAAGTCATATTTTGCTTGTGTGACATTTTATGGTTTCGCCAGTACATTGTTGTTCATTTGACCGTTGTTTCTCGCTGATAGAGGTTTTACGAGGGAAACAACATTTGGCTTTATAAAGATTTGGCCGACTTTTACGAGTTTTATGACAGTCCGGGTGATATACAAAGGGAACACACAGTATATTTCCCTTTTCCCTTATATCTTGGAAATAAAAAGAACATTAAACTGTATTTAATTAATTTATCCAGAGTTGCTTCAAATCATTTCAGTGTAAATTCACTATTTCTTAAAAATGCTTCAAGCTTACCATTTTGATTATTATTTGTAATATCGACATCATTTTGCTAGCAGTGTTCATCAAAGTAACTAGGTACATTCTATAAAGTAGAGCAAGTTATCNTCGTAGTAGATTAATACACAGACATTTTCAATGCTTTTGCTATGAAAATTGAAAGTCAACATCTCCAAGTATCCGCGGTCAACGCCGTAATAAAATCGAGAAAAGTGCATACGTCGAGAACGGACACCGAACCAATATTTGTATGAGTCTTTGTGTAGAAACGAACGGAACTTTCTCGCTATCGAACAGAGAGATTGGTTTGAGAAAGAAAACTGAATAATACATAATACATTCGACGGAATGGCGTTAGTTGGAAGATGAATGATCCGACTTATCTATAGAATAGGTACGTATGAGGTACGAAGGTTACGACCGAAATCGCTTTACCAATTATTTTTAAGATGTTTTTGCTTTCGTCAACCAGGTAATATTACTCTCTTGATAGTCAATAAGTTCAATTAGTAACCTGAAAATTGTATTTTCCAACGACTTTGACCAGAATAAACAAAAATATAACCCGTTTTTGGCTTCGCAGAGTCGTGTAAAAAATAAGAGCTTCAATCACGCAAACAAAACAGTTTGATCAAAGATATGCACAAAGCGTAAGATATATCAATATTAAATTGATTGGCCTTGAACGTCGAATTAAAATAGCTTCTATTATCACAATTCAGCGATCAAATTCTATACAAAACTACGGGAAGCGAGGAACGTTTGGCCGACGTGTCGGACAAGTTAAATGACAGCATAACGCGTGAAGTGATTACTTGGCTATTGCCAAAAGGATATGTGGTCCTTCGACACCGGAAGATGTAATCACAGTCGCGTGCTTCTGAGCTGTGACTGTGAGCCTGAGAGTGACTCACGGGATGTGGGCACGTCTCTACCGCGTCTACGGCCGCTTAACCGTCGCATTGTGTTGCTGTAGTCGAGGGAGGAAAGTAAACATGCTGTGCAGAGAAAAAGCATCTCTTAATGCACTTTCAGACAAGTTTGTGACTACTTTCATAGTCATTAACATTAGAGTAATAAAATTATTCAGTTACTCCGTGATCATGGCGCTTGCAACAGTGCCGAAATATCGGACGCTCGTAAATAAGGTACATGGTAGCAAACCCGTTATTAATAATTATTCTGATTGTGACTACTTTTACAACAGTACAACCTTTTCTTTGAACACATCTTGGAAATAGAATAACTAAACAAAATTTTTATTCTCTCTTATTGAGGAAAAATCTAAAAGCTGCAAACAACCACGACAGCACGAACAGGAGGAAGATGTAAGTAATGTCACCTTCTTATCTTCAAAGTCACTGAAAGTAAAAAGAAAAGTAGAGGGAAAACCCTTAGCATATTATTTCGATTTGTCGTCAGAGATCTTCATTTTACACGGCGATACCTACATAAATTAAGAAAATCTAGAAATCACTTAATTTTTTTATGTGGGCAAGGACAAGCATGTGAGTCTGTTAGCTTACTGTTGTCTACCGACTACGTCTCCGTCCTGACTAATTTGTTTTAGAACAAAGACGAAATTCGCAGCTCAACAGGGCATTCGGTCCTAATTAATGAGATGCATGTGAACAATGGCACATGCAAGTATGCTGGGTTCTGCGCTTAACGTGACTTCAGGATGTCAGGAATTAACACCGCTATAGCGCACTGCTTTGCCTACTAAACAGACTAAAATGGCCCAGAAAACTGTCATATCGTTTCTTTGGGAATAAAAAAAATTAGATTACTGAAAACAAAATGGTCAGATGAAACCTTTCCTTTAGGAATTACATAAAAAGTAAGACCAAAAATTCACATTTGATTAACCGAAGGGTCTCGATGGAAAAATAAAAAGCTGAAAAGGTTTTGGTATTAGGTACGTAACGACTATTGAATGTAGTTTTATTACAATGTGCCCTCTGCCTAAGGCGTGACTTTGAAAATTAAGAGGGACGTGTCCAAGAAAATTAAGTAACAAGTAGCATTCTTATTTGTTGAGTTGCATCCTCATATGGCTTTCGTAGCTGATTTTTACCTTCGAACAAAATCGTGTAGCCTCGTTTTAGAAGTTCGAAGTTTTCTATTCTATTATTTTCATCTAAGAACTCCGCAACATCATATTTATAAATAAAGAGTAT